ATTGTTTCATTTCACTTCCCCTTGGTTCCTTCTGAACCCCTCTGGTGGCGCTTGGGAGAAGGGAGCCACCTGATACTTTGAGATATTAACCTCATATACTTTATAACAAAAAGGCCTTGATAAGCTTTTAATATTAATTTGTATCATCACTATCGCTTTCCAAATATCACCAGCATTTCAGAAGGCATTACCTGGGGTGGGGGGGAATGCAGGGGTACGCATAGAATCTTTGCACTTTTGTCCATTTACTGTATTTATTTTTCACAATTTAAACTATAAACTTTTGCTAATGAAGAGGGGCATTCCAGGAAGGGATGGAATAGCTTCTACTATGATGAACTTCAAAATAAACTAATAGTCCTCTACAAAGAGTCCATACTTTAATTCAATGGACTTCTTTTCTCACAATGAGAAAAGAATTAACACATGTAAAAGGAATCAAATCCAGTTTTTCAGCAATACTAAAAGTACTGTACTAAAAACAGTTTAATAGAACAAGGGGGCTGTTTGCTATGAATGGGAACTGTAGTCCAATGTAACTTACACAAGAAAATATAAAGTAGTTAATTCGCCTTTGCAAAAGGAATTGTCAAATACTTATTATATAAATACTATGTCAAATGCCCAACTTCCACCAAGAAATCACTTGCCCCAGAAATTATAGTGCACTCCAACTCTAATATATCTGATAGGGTGGGCGGGGGCGCGGGCGCACACACACACACACACACACACACACACACACACACAGACACCACCCAATGCAAATCAAAATTGTCATATGGAATTGTATATGACTCACAGTATCCTAGGTATGCAGCACTGATAATGTCTTAAAAGACTAGCTAAAAAGAGAAGCCCTAGAAACAGAGTAGCACACAACCAACTAGTTTGGTAGAACGAGAGCAGGAAGTCATCATCCCACACACTAAAAATGTTCCAGAGACAAATGACAGCAACACTGCAGTCACTAGGGGAATAAAATGTTTGTAGTGTGATGCATATGATATAAAGAAGTCAGTGGATGTGGGAAATGTACATAAAATAGTTTGGCGACTTAATTAAAATTCACAGGATGCAAATGCCCTCGTTAAAGACAGAAGTCAAGTAGACAGCTTTGCATTGTTCACTGGAGTCTCATTTTTTAATACACCATTATAGTCAAGGGGACTGCTTTTCTGCAGACACCAATGAAGACAAAATAAGCCCCAGTTCAGGGGAGTTTTGCCTGCTGTTCCCCATAACCTTTTCAGAGCACTGTTTCTGAAGAAAATATCCTGACTGTGCCGGCTGCTTGCAAAGGAATGTGTTCAGTTCAGGGATGTATAAGACTAATTGTCCAGCTCCATCCTTCCTTGTGCTGAAACCATAAAAGAAGCTGCAGTCTTGGATTGTGCTGCTGCTCACAAAGCAGTGTGTTCTCTTCAGGGCTGAGTGAGACCAGCTGACCATTTATTGTACCTGAAGCCATAAAAGAAGCTACAGCCTGAACAGCGAGTAGTCAGAGTAACACTTGGGTAGAACCAAGTCAAGGGCACTGGAATATATTTTCTTGTAACACTGTGAGGATGAAAAGAGAGGAGAGAAATAGCTGAGTTCAGGTGCATACCTTCAGCATCTGAGGAAGGCCTATGTCATCTGGGCTAGGATGGGATGGGGGTACTTCTCCCAGAGTTGCCACCAGGGGTTGCCCCTGAAGTGGTGAACCCAAAGGGGATTGCCACATCGTGCTGCTGCTCTGGGGAGGAGGCAAGAGACCATTTCCCTATTCCTTATCTCCAAGAATTTTAATCATAAGTGGTATCATGTCTTAGAAGCTAGATACACATATTGTGGCTAAGTTCTCTGGTGAGAGCAGAAATTCTGTGCGGCTTATGGAATGGTCCTGACAGAGCGGTTGGGCCTTGCTCCATTTAGGTTGAGTTATGTGAATATCTTAGCCTTGCTCTTTTGCATTTTACAATTTTAATTTTTGCCTTCAGATTATTTAAATTGTTATACTGCCTGTTTTTACTGTTCTTGGCATTACTTATTTGAAAATGTTTGTTTTTATTGATTTTCCAGTTGATGCCAGACTTCTCCTTAGCAGAAGTCTACTCAGGGGACACTCCTGATGGCAGAAGAAGGGGATATGATTTTGCTAATTTCCACTGAAATATTTTGCACCCTCCAAAAATCTCTGGAACTTCTGGGAAAGTGTGTGTGTGGCACTGGAAGATGCAAGGGGAAGAAGGAATTGGTCCAAATCATCTCTCGTATCTAGAGATTTCCAGAAATTGTGAAGCTATGAGGAAAAAATATTTTCCCGTTTTTTTTCTGGAAAAAAATGAAAATTTTGGAAAAATTGGGGGGGGGGGTTCAGTGTGGTTTTACAAATTGTGTGAAACACAGTGTATATAAAACTATTGTGCTTGCAATAAAACAGGTAACCTACCCCTTTCCCTCAAAAGCAACAAAAAAGCAAGAAACCATCAACATAAAAAATAATCAGATTTGCCCCTTAGCACCAACAGCAAATAAAGTTAAGATCCAACTCAATATTTAAGCTCCATAGAAGGTCTACCCTTTGAGCAGTGCTTTTCTTATAAAAAAACCACAAAACCCAGAAGACACAACATATACATGCAGTTTATTCTATCTCATTTTCTGAACTACTGCTATCATTTTCCATTTCTTCTTCCTCTTCATTTTTCTCATGGACTTTTAAAAAACAGTTTTGGAAAAAACCAGGGGAAAACCTGTTTTTTCCGGGGCTTTTCCAGGCCTTCCCAGCTCTACTTGAGGACAGCCGGGGCAAAGCGTAAGGCAATTTTTTTGCATACCAGGCCTAGAAGTAACCAACATCCAGTTGGTTACTGAATAGTATGTTGCACTAAGGCTCAAACTCTGTTTGAAAGGAAAAGGAGTATGTGTGTTTTTAAAATTGAATTTGTTATTATATATTATAAACCGCATGAAGGTAAAAGAGCTTTCTAAACAGTTTACAAAAATATACAACAGAACATTAAAATGATTGATAAAACACAGATAAAAGCAGTTATTTAAGAGTATTCAAAAGATGATTAAAGTCAGCAGTGGTTAAAAGGAAGTAAATCGCATGCAGCTTCTATGTGTTCAGATGGGCTGGCCCTAATGAAAATGTTTTGAGCAGTTGCCGGAAAGAGTACAGTGAGAGCACCTGCCTGGCGTCAGTCGGCAGGGAGCTCCAAAGTGTGGGTGCTGGAAGGCCGGGGGGGGGCGGAAAAATGGGGGGGCGGGTTTTTTGTTTTTCCCCCCAAAGCCGTTTTTTCAGGAAAATTTGAAAAAAAAGTAGTGTGTGGAATATTCAAGGTATATCAAACTATTCCGCTTCCCCAATTTTTCTGGAAAAAAACAGCTTTGGAAAAAAATAGGGGAAAGCCAGGTTCCCCCCAATTTTTCCAGTTTTCCCCCAGGCCTTCCCATCTCTACTCATACCCTTCCTTCAGTAGAAGCTACTAGACTGGAGTGCATTATGTAGACAGAAGGAGTGTATTTATTCACATAAATTTTTACTTCAATTAAGACCATCATATCCTCCCCTGCCCCCAACTGAACCAGGTTTTAGAAATATTCTCTAATTCAATGTGGCTAAAAAGAGTTCTGTGGTAACTTGGTGATGAAGGAGAATAAGATACACTAGAAATTACAAGGTAAGTGAATTCCCAATTTCTGTTCTGAGCAGTAAAAGCATTTGGGGAGCACTGCACGTTATTTCACTGTATGAAGGGGTTGCTGCGCACTCCCTTTGGATGCAGAAAGAACATGCCCAAAAATGATTCTGCAGCATCACCAGAAACACTCGTAGCCTAAAACATGCCTGGCATTTTTAAAAGCAGTAAATGCTATTACTAGACTAACCTAGAGATGGAAGTTGATAGATCTTGTTTCTTCATAACTTCCCATACAAAAGTTATATTTCACCAAATACATGGTTGGTTGGTAGGTTGGTTGGTTGATCGATCGATCGATCGATCAATCAATCAATTTGATTTCTTAGCTGTTCTTCATTACAAGACCACAGGCTGGGTTACAACAATACAATTTAAAAATCAAATAAAGCCAGTTCTTAGTGCAAAGTCAGTAGTAGCTCCTAAAAATATATCTCATCTATCAAAGGCCAGGATGCAGATGGCCTATGCTTATAATACCAAATAAAAATAATTCAGAGATCACTGAATGCAGGTTTCATATGACTACTAAAATCACAACATCTGATATAGAACAATTATTTTAATTGTGAACCTCATTAGAAAAATTAACAACTTGTGGTTGCCATAGTGGAAATCCTTGAATGCATAACTAGTTTTTATGTTCTCTAGTTCAAAAGAGAAAGGAAAAAGAAAAAGGCAAATATTGCTATTTAAATTTTTAGTAGCCATAGAACCAACACAACCTGCACACTAGGAAGCCAGTCTATGGTGGGTGTATGCATTGGGTAATATAGAGGAGCTATATCTAAAAAAGATTTATGTTTTCCAGTCTTGTCTGAGTACTTCAGATAAAACTACTGATTAATAATCAGAAATCTGTTTTCACACCTGTGCAATATTCTTGAAGTCAGCAAAGGTTGCATGCAAGGTTAGAGCAAAGGCATAATTTAGAAGAGGGTATACATTAAATACACTCATCAACAAATCAACGGAGTCAGTACTTAAAACACTCAATCGGATAAAGGTTAATTGGCTTTAATAAAACTTCACTATCCTTTCAAGATGTGAATGGTATTAGCAGCCAGCAGATGGCAGAAGCAGAGGCTGCTTTGAATGCTTTCCAGCAAAAGCCATGCTAACAATGTATGTAGCTATTTTTCTTTCATCCTAACCTGCCTTTCACAAACATGAACATAAAGCACATATCAACCAGCTGAACATTTTCAGGTTTAGTATGCAGAAGAATATTTTGGTAACAGTTGGGTTCGTACCAATTTTCATCTTTACCCCTCTGACCTTACACATGCCATATGTATATGGGAAGAGGATGCAGCTTAATGGCAGACCACATGCCTTGCAGGCATAAGTCCCCAGGTTCAAACCCTGGCATCTGCTGGTATGACTGTGAAAGGCCCTGTCTGAAATCCTGGGAAGCAGTGTACACAAGGAATAATCAACCTGATGCCCTTTAGATGTTCTGGACTATAATTCCCATCATCACTGACTGCTGGCCAAGCTGGCAGATGCTGATTGGGTACCCCTGATGTACACAACAAATAGCAGTGAGATAGTTGGACCGATTGTCTTACAAGGCAGCTTTATATGTTCCATATTCTCTCACCCTAAATTAATGGTCACCTAAGTGGGTGAGTATAAATACCCTGAGAAAAAGATTAAAGAGCAGACTAAGCTCTAATCCAAATGTTGAGTGTTGCAATACACTAACTGAACTCCACATGAACAGTGTTCTAGTATTTCAAGCAGATGTGAGAGAACATTATGTCCACAGGGAGCTCCGGTGTTAGCAGGAACCTCTTCATTAGCTCCAGTATTGGGTTACCCACATTGCATGTGACACTGCTATTAGCACTTAAGCTAGTGAGGAAGCTCCACGTGGGCACTGCAGTTCATTACACAATAAGAAATCTTTGGACTGGACTGAAAATACAGAAATGCATAAAAACAATTTATCTGATGAACTGAGACAATCTTGTGGCATTATACTTCATCTGATGCAATGATGTCTGCTCTATGGAATCCTATGGACCTCCTTGTAACACCTCTAAAACAAATGACATCCCTAGTATTCCACATTTTTTTAAAAAAAAGAACAGACCTTAATATTATTATTTTACATATAGTGCCAGTTATTTATGTGTTTTACAAAGAGTGAGAGAAGAGGTCCTCAGTGCAAGGGGGCTTACACTCTAGAAACAGACACAAGCGAGACAGCAGAGAAATAGGAGCAAAATCAAGGCAGGGGGTAAACATGGGGACGATTATGGTGGCCATACCTCCCCAGGCTTAGCTGTCATAGCATATGGGGACCAGAGGTTTGTGCCAATTTACAGAAAAAGTGGGTTTTGAAGACAGATGATAATATATGATTAATCTTCCAACACTATATTAATTCTGTTGAACGCTGTACTAAACGTTTCTTCTCAGAGTAACTCTTTGATCTACCTAAGATTTTTGGAATGAAATATGTAAAAATGCACTTCCAATAAGAGGGGAAGAGCTCAGAAATTGCCCTTTTATTCCCAGTTAGAATGCTACATTTGTTAAATACTTTAAAAGAATACTAGAGCGGCTCTATTTGTTTTTCATAAATTATTCCAAGACAGCTTTTTAGGTATCACAAGAAAATACAGGCAACAATGTTCACTTACTATGCTATGCAGTTTGTTCCTATCACCCACTCTGCTACGTGCACTTCCCTCATAGTAATTGGGCAGTGTTACCAAACAGGAACTAAAGGAAGCTAGGAGATCACAGATTAAGATACCTGGGAACCAGTACTCTGTCTTGACTACAAAGAATATATATTTACAAGCAATTAAGTATCCATTCATACTGGATTGCAGGATATTGTAGGTACATAGAACTATTATTGTTCCATTGACAAAAAGTACACTTCAAAGATTATTTAAAAAACAAACAATACGTTAAAAAGTTAGAAATTCAACTTGAAGTCATCATGCAATCTTATTAATATCTTCAGTTCTGAACAGTTCTGACTGCTTGTGATTTATTAGCGTTGGCCGATAACCCTGTAAGATGCAGCTGGGAAGTTCAGTAGAAAGTGCAGTGTTTTATAATTTTCTGAAGTTTTGGGAAACAGTATCTTATACTATCAAGGCTATATTGATAGGAGAGAGCTTTGGACTTAAATATATATATATTGAAAGCATATGAATGTACGCAAAGAAAAACCAAAGTCACAACCATTCCTGCCTTGATTAAAACATACATCAGTTTTTCCATCTGTGCAAAGTTAGCCATTAAGCTCTGTTTGTGTGTGACACTGGCCAAGGGAAGTGCTTACCCCTGCAAGCAATCTACACATGCTTCCTTCCCTTTTAAAAGCACTTACCATATGCATTGGCTCATTCGTGTGTGGACTTAGTGTGCCAGCCATTTGCCCTCCTGGGTCGCTAAACTGCTAATGCTAAACATGAGCGGGTTGATGCATGTGCTAAATGCATTTAAATATGATGGGAAGAAAGTGGAACATTTACATGGTAAGCGCTTTAAACCATGGCCTTTGTCACATATAAATTGGGCCTAATACTATTGCCAACTTGCAACTTTAGCCATAAAATAATAGCAGAGCCTTCTCCAGAATGGGTCAGGCAGTGAGAGCTATTGGCTACAATAATCTTCAGTAATACTTCTGTTTACTCAGCTAGCATGAAGGATTATAGAGATGATTTTGCAAGAGCTGACCCTCCAGCTTTATTAAATATTCAGTGAATGTTCTGTATGCACGCTGCGCCTTAAAACAAAAAAAAGACAGAAAGCGCTACAGAATACCATATGTTAAATACTTCACATAACAGTAGAGCAGGGCTACTTATTTTTAATAATTTAGTTTAAATCAGTTTATCAGGTATCGCAACATAATAAGGGAACAATGGTAAAGCATGCTGTCATAAATATTTAGTAACTTTAACAGTGTAAATTTGGATTTTTTCCCAGTTACCAGAGTTAATTTTGTGCATGGTTCTCCCTTATGAATTTTGAAATTCATTCTTTTCTTACTGATTGTTCTACCTTGGTGATAATGCCGCTGTTATGCCTTTCAGAAGTATCATATTATACGGATAATTCAACAGCAGGAGACTCGTGATTTAGGCTCATGTTCCCAAATTCTTCTCCCTCTCCCCATAACCATTCTCTCTTCTCACTAAGTGTCTGTATAGCCTACACACAATCTGTTTTGCCTAGGATCATCTGCTCCTAAGTACGCTTAAGAATGAGATCAATACCATAATGTGCATTATCCAAGATTTCACAAATAATTGAAATCAATGTTTAAGTTTGTGAAAGTATGCATAGAACCTTCACAAGATCTCTATAATAACCTAAAATTCCAGACAGTACAAATCAGAACTACCAAACTGGTCAGACATCAACCCCCTTACAACAAAAAATGGCTATTAGTACACAAATGCAAGAGGCTTATTAAACTCCAGAACTCTATGAAACACCACATTCAAAAGTCCCCTCTTTCCATTCCCCTATAACATCAGCTTTTCCAATCTGTGTCCCCTCAAAACATTTCACTTTGAAAATAAGTGGAACACCACAGACCATATGAAATGCCACCTGCAGAGTATTAAGCCCCAGATGTTGCTTGAACTAGTGGATTTGAATCAAATATTGATACAGTTTTTGGGGGTGGGGAATAAATTTTTATGCAAAATCAAATCAACCATCCTACATTGATGACACCTAGAAAGTCAAAACTTCATCAACTACAGACCTTGAGTCCAAATGAAGCATCCTCCGAGGCCAAGACTTCAACCTGAAATTATAAGCAAAAATATCATTTCAAAGGTAGTCACTTAAAAATATCTATTGACCAGAACAACAGAATCCAAGGAGAAAACATATGCTAGAACAGAACTCACTGTGAATCCCATAACACAAGCTGTTTAGACACAGAATAGATAGAACCAAGATATGAATTGAATACACTCAAAAATGCCAATCGTCATTTGGGGAAGGTCGGCTGTCAAAAACTAGAGTTCTCACCATAATAAAGATAGCTGAAGAAAATGTTGCAGTGTTTTATACTGTTCAGGGGCAGGGAGAAGCTAGATTGGGGTCTTCTGGTAGATCTCTGGATGATGTGTGGTAGATCAGCAAGGATTTCTGACATCCAATAAGTCAGGCTTTTTAGAATTTCTGATCTGCAGTAACTCATATGCAAATTTGTACTTGCACTTGCAGGTCATCCCAATGCTGTGGCTCATGGAGTGGGTAACTGGCAATGCACCTAATTGGCAGATAAAACTCAAAGCAGATTGTGCCAGTCTGAAGTCTGCCCAAACCTGCTGAATACTGCATTCATGCAATATCCAGTTCAAGCAAGAAACACTGTTTGCTTCTGGATGAGGAAAAGACAAAGGGCTAAGCATATCAAGACAGTGGGCAGGTTTATTGGTGGAGTTTGTACCAAAACCTAATGATGGTCCTTCAAACTGGTTTTCTGTTAAAAATAAGGTAATTATAATAATACACACACTTCTAAATAGCTGTCATGGATTCATCCTCAAACTGGAATTAAAATTATGTATAATATAAAATTAATGCATAATTTTAATTCTAATAATTTTAATACATAATTGGAACCTTAAATAATTAAACAAGCACACACACTACATAAGCATACGGAGCACTTGTAAATTTGTGACAATCAAGAAGGTAAAATCTATAAATATATATATATTAATACTGTTGAATGACTTTCAGCTACAAGTAAGGCTTGGACATTCTTTCTTGAATGATCTTTCCTCTCTTCCCGCCATATCTCACAAATGCATACACAGACACACTCCAATGCTAACCCTCTACTTTTGCTCTGGAAGCCCCAAACTCCTATATCCAAATTATATAAATAAATACATAGGCCTTAGTAAACACAAGCAACAAGAGCAGTGGGAAAGAGGGGCTAATCAAGGGTGCAGCAAGTCAGAATATAGGGAAATTACCCTTCAAGTCAATGGACAGGGAAAGGAGTTATGAATTCAGAGCACAAGGAGCACAACTTGCCCCAGCCACAAACTAAAGCACTATTCTAATCTCAAGTTTATGAGATGTTGCCTGGCTTCAATATTCCTGCACCAGCTTACATGACAGAAAAGAAACAAGAGTAAGTGGAAATCGGGCAATGAGTATAGAGTCTCACAGAATCCTGACCTGCCTTGAGCAAAGCAGATTCTGCAAACAACAGATTTGCTCTCCTGGGGCAGAGGCCGCAGCTGCTGGATTGCAAGAAACAATGAGGCATAGAAGCACAAAAGAATGTGTGCATGCTGTTATAGGATCTAGTGAGGCCAATATGGAATTGCCAGTGATCTATGAATGCTAAGATTTGAATACACATGTTC